GAGAAGCTGCAGGACCGAGCGGATGACAAACGACAAAGAGGGAAGCCGAAGCCAATTGCCGAGAGCTGGGGGCGGGGCGAGGAATCAGCGAAGATGTCGCTTCTCTCCCGAATCGATCTGCAAATCCAGCGCGACCCAGACGTGACGCTCGCCGAAAAAAATCAACAGAACCCGGGGTTTATTCTAAGTCCACACGGAGGGAGACGTTCGCGATGCAGCGAAGAGCTTTACACGGCACGGTTTCCCCAACCCCCCTCCTGGGCGTGAGTGAGGTCCCCCGAGCTGTCCCCGGCTGTCCCCTGACTGGGGTCCTCCCTCTAGGCTTTCAGTCTCTTCGTAGTGTCTATTTGCTCCAGTAGCTTCCAAGGAAAAGACACAGGGTATGAATGCGTGTCTGAATCCCTGCGTGTCAGAGCATCTTTAATCTTGATTGATATTTGGCCGGGATGTTTTAATGTCACATCTTTAAAATGTCCTCAGTCCGTTTCAGCTTTTTTTCCTAAAAGTTCCCTGGGTCTCTTAGCTTTTCTCAAATTTTCAACTCACTATCTCATTTTACCTTTTAGGAGATTTTATAAATTTTACAAATAATATCTTTTAATTCTATTATCAAAATTTTTATTTGACAATCAGTTATTTTAATTTTGAAGATGCTTCCTAGGGCATGATGCTGCAACCTGAATCTTAGGTCCCTGGAGGCTGGCGCTGTTTTACAGATGACGGTCCTTATGGGACACTTTTGTAGATTAGGTCCCTGGTGTTCAGTGCTCCCAGGAGGGTGCCCGCCACACAAAGTTCTCCTTCGGTGTCATCCCCTTACAGTATGACGCTCCATTACAGAGAGTGATCTCTCTCTCCAAAACCATGTTCCTCAGGGATGGTGGGCCGCGGTGCAGAAACCAAATTCCCCAGCAGGTGGCGCTGTCATCGGGACCTTGCCCTATCCGAGGAGGCAGACTGTGTCCCGCGGTTTCTGACTCGAATCTTTTATTCCTCCTCACGGTCTTCCTGGGCTCCCAGGTGGTCTTGGTCGAGGGAAGACCTGAACTGCATCCGCCTCCAAGGTCCCTGGCAGCTGGCGGGCTTCTGCCGCAGGCGGGATTTAGCCCGTGGGGCGCGCGCGCGCGTGTGCGCGTGTGTGTATGTGTGTTACTGATACTCACACGCGGCAGAACACGGTCGTTCCCGAAGACCCGCGGTTAGGTCGCACAATGGGGACAAGGACAAGTGGGAGGCCACAGCTGCCGCGGGGCGCAGCGGGGCCCCCGGGGCTGCTGGTCCAGGCCCCAGGGCCGTGGGCGCAGGCTCGCCCCTCCTGCCTGCCACACCAGAAGCTTCCCCTGGGGACTCGGGGGCCGTCCGCCAGACGCGCCCGGGTGCGGGGACCTCGGGGCCTCCTTAGGCTCGGGCAGTTCCGGCGGCTGCTCAAGGAGGCGCGTCCGGGCAGGGCGCGAGGTCGCGGGCCTGTTTCACAACCGCGGGCAGGGGAGGGGTCCTCGCCCTGCTCCTCCGAGGGCGGAGGCGGCCGGCCGTCCTGGCTCCCCGCTCCCTGACTGAGCCCTCATTCCTCCCACCAAGGCTCTGCGGCCTGCCAGGACAGCGGGCCACCCTCTGAGACGTGCCCCCCAAAGCCAGCAGCCAGTGTCCGCAGCAGGACTGCGCGGTCAGGGCAAGCTCAGAGCGACAGGGCGGAGATGACGGGGCGGCACAGGGGTGCCAGGCAAAGGCCTGGGGGGGAAGGAGCTTCGGCAGCGGGAACAGCCCCGGGGAGGGGCGGGTGGGCGGGGCGTCGCGGGCACGCCCCCACCTGCCGAGGCGCCCACGAAACACTCGACACGGTTTTCATCCAAAATCAAGGCTGTATTGATCCTCATGGACTGACAGGCGAACAGGATGCTTAGAATAACCGGAGTCCGCAGTGGACACGGCGCTGGAACGGAACCGAACAAGGCAGCGGACGCGGTGGGGGCGCCGGGGCGCGCGCGCGGTTACGAAAGCAAAACCGAAAGCCAGAGGGAGCCACGCGGCTGGCGGGCGGAGGGACGACGCGGGCCGCGCGTTTGGCTGATGGTCTTCGCGGAGCAGACAGAAGCGGCCGTTCCTGTCATCGACCTTCGGACG